CAGATAGCACAACTTTACATCGTCAATGCCTTTAGAAGGCACAGCAGAAATTTTAAGTCGATCCGACTAAATCCCTAGGAGGAGTTCGTTAAAGTACGGAGTCTGTAAATCGTCCAAAAATGGCCGCCAAATTCAAAATGGCGGACCTCCTGTCGATTTTATGGTATGGGTTCTTGAGGCTTTTTTGTGCGTCTTGATATGATACACGTCCCCACCAAATTTCGTGCATGTAGGTTGAACGTGGACGAGGGGCTAATTTTTTCCAATTTTCTAGGTGGCGCTAGCGTGCCATTTTGCCCCGCCCATCTGCGAAACCCACAAAATACGAAATTTTTCACCAGTCCTGACATGCGTGCCAAATTTGGTGAGTTTTTGAGCATGTTGCGGCCCCGAAAATGGCGCTTACTTTGCAGAAAAAAGAAAAAAAAAAAAAAATAACCCTAACAGTTTCAATAGGGTCCTCGCACTGTTAGTGCTCGGGCCCTAATAAATATATATATATATATATATATATATATATATATATATATATACAGTACTGTGCAGAAGTCTTAGGCACACTAGTATTTTCGCCTCAAAGAAATGGTTTTAAGCCAGTTATTTATATATTTTGTTGTAGTGTCTCAGTAGGAAATATCAGTTTACATTTCCAGACATTAATTGTGCCATTAATTGTAATAATCCAGTGAAATTTTTGAATGCACAAGGATTCTGACAACAGCCAATGCTCCACACGGGGGTCGGATCTTACCATCATCGAGTGCATCTGAAATTATATGAAGAAACAGTAAAAACAGAGACTAAGACCAGAAGAACTGTGGCAACGTTTCCAAAGACGCTTGAAAAAACCTGCAAAACTAAAAACTATGTGCAATACCTGGACAAAAGCTATTTTAAACGTAAAGGGTACTAAACACCTATTGATTTGATTTACTTAACTGTTAAAAGTTAATAACAGTTAATAATAGTTATATAATTATTATATATAATTATAATAGTTAATTTATATATATTGGTTAAAAGTTAGATTTTGAAACATCTTGAAAAATTGGTATTTTTCCACTGGGTACCAGAAGAAAGAATGCGAGGACAAAAAAAAAAAAAAATATATATATATATATATATATATACACTCACCGGCCACTTTATTAGGTACCCCATGCTAGTAATGGGTTGGACCCATTTCTCCCATCTCAGGGGAAAATAAGGGAATAAACCATGACCATTCAAAAATATGACTGGGTTTCTAAAGATACAAAGCTTAATGCAAATGGGTGAAGTGACCCTTTAATTTCAGAAATGTCTCTGTATTTATATATATATAAATAGTCTTTGCACACTTTGGTACCCAGTGACACACACTCATTATACAGCTCATTATGCATTATTTAGGATCCTCACAATCATTCACGCCCACTACACCCCCCACATATTGCCTTTCCAAATAAAAAGTGTCTTACAAATGTAAATCAATGTATTGTTTTGTGTAAATGATTAGGCAGGATGATTTTCCGATAATTTTGAAGAAAATTCTCTAGGCGACACCCTCCATTAGTCAAAAGTCTTGTGGACAAATATTTTGTCTGTGTTTTGTGGCCTTATTTCAGAAACTTTACGTTTTTTTTTTTTTAATAACCATGCATAAACAATATTTTCTCAAAAAGACAAACATGTACACTCATGTTGCTCACATATTATGTTAGTCCTGTTTGTGCTAAATATAGTGTAAACCATTGCCATTAATATGTTTATAAGCAACTGAAAAAAGCACAAATGTCAGTGCATATCAAAGCATCTCAAGGACACCTTGACACCTTAAATGCCTTAGACCCCAGAGGGTTAAAGTCCCTGTAAAGTCAAAATTAAGTATGTGTTCTGAGTTTTTGACACCACAGAAAAATGTGTTATTAGCCATCCAGCCAAATTTGAATGATAAAAAAAGAAATTATTATATATTTTTTTATAAAATAAGCTATCAAATTCATGAAAAAATTAGCAGTATTCTCTGCTCTCAAATGCTGGGGGCGTGTCCGCTGGCTGCGTGGAACCCATGCCCACTCACGGGAAAGCTGTCGACGGTGATATTAGCTGATTAGCTTTTGGAGACGGGAGGATGAACGCTGAGGCGGGAGATAGCCTTTTCGGCCATGTTCACCTGTAACAGCAGATTATCAGTGAATAATCAGTGAATCCCAGTTGTCTCTGAGGAAAGTTTATAAAACGATCCAGTGTAAAACGATCACTACAGAGGCGGGTGTTCGCGGTGATCCTCAGCTCTTCATTAACAAGGTTGGCTCTCTAAAAACCTCTTCTTGATGTGATCGTTTTTAGGGAATTTAAATGAAGATACCGATCTGTTTTGTACATGATCGCATCCAGCTAATAGCCTATGCATTTATGTGTCAAATAGCTAGCTAGAAAACAGTAGGCTGTAGTAACTAATAGGACTGACAGTCACTCACGATTGAGCGGCGAATGCGAATGTGCTCTAGGGGAGAGATGAGATCAGCAAAATGCGTCATCAAATATGTTTTAGCCCCGTCCAAAAAATCCGTAAAATTGCAATGGTGAAAAACTGTTTAACGGTCTAACTCCACATTTCAGTACTTCACAGTTCACAGTCTTTGTAATATGTTTTAGCAATACATATGTAACATTCATAATGCGTTTAGAACTTTTTTGTAGAATTGCCTTTACAGGGACTTTAAGAGACTAATTACTTTATTCATTTTTAGCTGACACTTTTATCCAAAGCGACTTACAATTGCTATATATGTCAGAGGTTGCACACCTCTGGAGCAACTAGGGGTTAAGTGTCTTGCTCAGGGACACATTGGTGTCTCACAGTGGATTTGAACCCGGGTATCTCACACCAAAGGCATGTGTCTTTATGTAACATAATGCTGCTGAAGGTTGGGAAGGCATTCTTTATCTGTTCTTTAGCTAAATATCAACACATTCATATAACATGCAAAGTGCTTTAGTTTTAGATGTGATACTCTAAACTGACAACTAGAGGTGTAAAGAGTACCTGAGTAAAGGTACAGATAGCATACAGTGAAAATGACTCAAAGATGCACTAACCCTTAACACTGAAGAGACATGCTAGTGAAAATAAGAAACAATTGATTTGTAAGATTAAAAATGATGTTTTATTATTAAAGTCAAAATAAAACTGAATATTGCAATAAATAAACGTGGACACAACAGCCTCTTAAACATCAACAAACTCTCAAGCCTCAGTGAAGCACAAGTGCAAAAAAGGCCATAGGTAAACCAATATCCTTCAAAAAGGTCTCATTAATATAGCGGTCAAATAAAAGAATATTAAGTAGAATTAAATAGTCAAAGTCTAATTGTCTTGCACTGTATGTGCTGGTTTCTGCCTCATCATGTCCTCATCTTTTAAATCAAACACCTGCGATTCAGCAACTACCTGCTTGCATTCGCGTAAGGTAGCCTTGTTGACAAGTTTGACTGAGTAAAGGCAAAACTCACAAGATATAGTACATTCAATGCCCTTAATGACGATATCTCTTCTTTCTAGCTGAAACAAACTGCTGCAGAAAGTTTGGTGCCATTAAGGGGGTAATCCACCAGCCATTAGCTAGCAAGCCTTTACCTGCTGTTAGCATTCAATTATCTCCCATTCATTTTGGCGTCACTTTGACAGTGAATAACTTTACATCTGGGATTTTTAAAGACTCCATTTGTCCATTGTTTATTTCTAAAGAAACACAACAATGTATAAAAGGCTCCATTAACTTGTATCTTACAATATGGCCCAGTAAAAGCAGTTTTTGTAAAAATAGGCTAATGATTACGTCATAACGCGCAACTCTTTCACGCACAGTAGAGAAATTACCTTATAGACAGGAGGAGTTGCTAGCAGGCAATCAGGGGGACGTGGAGGCAGAGATGCTCACAAGTCTCTGAGCAAGAGTCCAAGTCAAGTCTCAAGTCTCTGAGCTAGAGTCCAAGTCAAGTCTCAAGTCTCTGAGCAAGAGTCCAAGTCAAGTCTCAAGTCTCTGAGCTAGAGTCCAAGTCAAGTCTCAAGTCTCTGCGCTAGAGTCCAAGTCAAGTCTCAAGTCTCTTTATTATAATAAGTCTCTGGTTATAATAAGTGTTGCATCACATACAGCGACCCATCCAGGCTGCTTAGAACACTCTATAGCTATATATAAGGAATTCAAAGCATGTAATATGTTATTTTGACTACTTTATCTATTAGCATACAGTATTAGCTTTGATTTTGGTATATTAAAATCAAATGTATGTAAACAGGCTATTCAAACATGACAAAACACCAAGAATGCTTTACTTTTAAGTTAATAACTGTATTTTGCCTTGGTGCATGAACACACAGTACAGTACATACAACACCATTGCAACGAACCAAACGATGTGAAATATACTATCCACAAAAATTAACACACTACACTTCCTTATTATAGAGAATCCTTATAGAGAATTATTTGTTATTTACTTAGTGGCTGGATAGCACAACATTCAAACGCTCAACATTTTTAGAGTGAATGTAGCAACTGACCAACGGCATGTAATTTGTTAAGAACAAAATGTTTAGAAATAATAAAATTAAAAAATCCAAAGTATGAGATCTCAGACTGGTTAACCTTCTCATCTCTTAAAGGAGTAGTTCACTTTTAAAAAAACTTTTGCTGATAATTTACTCGCCCCCATGTCATCCAAAATGTCCATGTCTTTCTTTCTTCAGTCGAAAAGAAATTAAGGTTTTTGATGAAAACATTCCAGGATTTTTCTCCATATAATGGACTTCAATGGGGTCCAAACGGTTCAAGGTCCAAGTGAGAGTTTCAGTGCAGCTTCAAAGGGCTTTAAACGATACCAGACGATGAATAAGGGTCTTATGTAGCGAAACGATTGGTCATTTCAAAAATAAATAAAAAAGTTAAAGTTTTATAAGCTTTTCAACGTAATTACGTATTACGTGACGTCATGAACGCGCATCACAGAACCGAGCATGGTGAGCATTTGTGCTTATCAAACTTAAACTTTTTTATTTATTTTTGAAATGAAGATTTTTCTGCATTTGAAGCTGCTTCCTTTAATACACTAGGTATGGGCCACAAAACATGTTTGGCTTATAGGTGTCCTTCAGTGGCCTAAGAACTAGAAAAGTCTTAAGCAACATAATGGTTACATTTCAAAAAGATCAAGCTTGACAGTGTCTTTGCACTAAGTCTGGCTCGGTGAGGGCGCATTATAAGGCCTCCATGACTAAATACCCTTTCCACTGGTGCACTGGTGGCAGGAACGGCAAGCAGTTTCATAGACACAAGATAAAGCCTGGGGAAGATCTTTGCATGCTTTTGCCAGAAATCCATACAGTCAACTTCTTCTTCAGAGCACACCTGGATGTAGCGAATGACCTCATCTTTGCAGGATGTGTGATGGTCTGCTTTTTTCTTGGTACTCTTCTTGCGGTAGCCAGAGAAAAGCCGTGGAGTTTTAGCGGGTACTGGTGGCTCCTCCTCATCTTCTCCACTGCTGCCCTCAGATATGGTGACTTTCTGAGCCTCAACCAAGAGAAGGTCTGAAAATATTTCACAAAAATGATGGTTAGTTACAATATTATGACGTTAATACACTAAATGCACAGTGGTGATGAATCAATAAAAAGTAAGACAAGATTTGAATATGTTAGATGCATAATGTGATGATAATCTTTTAAATCTGTTAATGTGAATTATTCACCTACCTATCATCATCTCCTTCACCTCACTCTTGACTTCATCTGATGTGAGGACATCTTGTTCTAGCCAAAAGAGGCAGAATGATGGGTCTAGAAGTGCAGACAACATGTAGACCATATCTCCAAATGGAAGCTCTACGGGGTGTTGTGCTGTTTCATCCATTCGGACATTTGCAAACATCCCCTGGAAACGGCGTTGGAGTGACTTTTGCAGTGCTTTCACTAAGCCAACCAGATGACGAGATGCATTCAGCATATGGATGAGGTGGCTGTTGAGTGAGAGTACACAAGGGAGAGCCGCACTGACAGTCACCACCTTCTCTCCTTGTGTAAGGTCTGTTGCTTGCAGAAATGGGGCTAAAATGTCCACAAGCTCTTTGAGCTGACTCCATTCTTTGGCTGATAAGCACAGGCCTTTATGTCCTTGGGCGTCCAGGAGAGAGTTTAGGCTTTGGGGATCCAGGTCAGTGACTGCCTCCACAAGGCGAAGAGTTCTGTTCCATCGTGTGGACACAGCTGAGGGGATGCTTTGGTTTGCTCCATACTCCGCCTCAAATGCTTCCTTCAGTCTACAAGTAGAATGGAGTAAACTGCAAAATTTTGTCACTTTTGCCATTGCACTGTTCAGCGTTCTTGTCTCCCCATCTCTTACAACAAGCTGCAATGAATGTGCAAAGCACTGCAGCCGCTGCTGCCGACAGCTGCTCTGGATGGATTCCACATCATCCTGGTATTCCTCACTTACTTCCTCCCACATGCAGCTATTTCCGAGCTCATCTTCATCATCATCTTCATTGTCAGTTTTAGCAGAAGGGAAACAAACTGTGAAGGCTTTCTTCATATTTGAGGCATTATCGCAGATGATATAATCCAGTTTATGTTTTATATTAAAGTTGTCACATATCTCCTCAAATTTCTCACTTATTCTCTCTCCAGTGTGTGACCCAGTGAATCGTTCACAACTTAGGAGAACTGTCTGCAGTCTTCTTGGGCAGTCTTTCTCCTCAATTTCCATGAAGTGGGCTGTTACCCCTAAGAAGCCACGCATGCCCCTGTCAGTCCAGATGTCCACTGTCACAGACACATTGTTAATCTTTTGTAGTTTACATTTTATCTTGGACTCTTTTTCTGCTACTAGCTCACTCAGACGTCTGGTTACGGTGCTTCGACTTACTGGGCAGTATCTCTCCTCTACCACTGACATTAAATTCCTGAAGCTAGGCTTGTCAATCAAAGACAGAGGTAGGTTGCATGAAATGATGAGGTCCTGTATTATGGATTCAGTAATGGCCTTCTGACTGGGATGCCCCTGGCTGTATAGCTGCACACCTCTTGTCTGGCTTAAGAATGAATCAATGCTGCTCTGTCCCTGTGCACTGGCCCCTTTCTTTGCTTTGTGAAACTCATTAAACCTGCAGAGATATTGATCAATCAATATGAAAAGACAACAAGTAAGATGCTTATCTTATAGCTAACAATTTTATGTGCAACAAAGCCCATCTGAAACCACAAGGTCCTGGGTAACACTTTACAATAAGGTTCATTAGTTAACATTAGTTAGTGTATTAACTAACATGAACTAACCATGAGCAATACATTTGTTTTGGTATTTGTTAATCTTCGTTGATGTTAGTTAATAAAAATAAAGCTGTTCATTGTTTGTTCATGTTAGTTCACAGCGCATTAACTAATGTTAACAAGATTTTAATAAAGTATTAGTAAATATTGAAATTAACATTTACAAAGATTAGAAAAATGCCATTATTCATTATTAGTTCATGCCAACTAATGTAGTTAACTAATGTTAACTAATGAACCTTATTATAAAGTGTTACCAGGTCCTGAACTGAAAAAATGGTCTCAGGGTATCAAGAAAATATTGCTAATTTTTTAAGCAATAACTAACTTTTTTTTCACTTACAGAGTGAAAAGAATGAAACTGTAATGTTACATGATCAACAATAATTTCTGTTAAGAATATATATCTCAACACATTTTCAATGACCACACACTGTACACCCCCCTACACATTTATATTACACACAGGATGTACGGGTCTAATAAAAGTGTGGAAATGGTAGGTCCTGTGTACCTTTACTCTGTCCTCCTGTCATGGCCTACTGTTGTGTATGTGTGTGTGTGTTCTTGTATATGGTTTATGAACGTCAGGGGTAGAAACAAAACTCACTTTTGCACACACAATCTCTCTCTCACACGCACACACACACACAAGCACACACACACACACACGCACACACACACACACTCAAGCACACTCAAGCACATAGACACTGTTTACGGGGACTCTCCATAGGCGTAATGGTTTTACTAATGTACAAACTGTATAATCTATCCACCTCCACTAACCCTACCCCTAAACCTACCAATCACAGAAAACTTTTGGCCTTTTTTGAATTTCAAAAAAACACCATTTAGTATGTTTTTTAAGCAGTTTGGTTTATGAGGACACAGATGTCCTTATAAACGAATCGGTTACCTAACGTAACCTCGGTTCTCTCTAGATGAGGGAACGAGTATTGCGTAAGCTAGCTTACGCTACGGGAAAGATTCATCTTTGCTGAGAAGTTGAAGCCATTATTCCATAATTTTGTAATCATTGTCAACGCAGTCTCTTCTGAGGCAGACCATGAGCGGGCTAGCTAGCGGCTCATTGGTTCGCTCAGAGAGAATGCACGAACCTATGGGAGAGCGGCGCTGAGTCCGCGCCCAATGAGCGGACGGCGCTCGCTCACTGCGTCACAGCCCGCCAAAAGGGGCGTGGCTGCAGTGTATAAAGGTCGCTCTCCCAGCTAGTTCGTCGATTCTGTAGCATGAAGCGAAACGCTAGTGGCGCAAGCACGGCCGGGAACGCAATACTCGTTCCCTCATCTAGAGAGAACCGAGGTTACGTTAGGTAACCGATTCGTTCTCTTACGAGAGGTTCTCTCGTATTGCGTAAGCTAGCTCACGCTACGGGAACACCTGGTCAACGCCGTGCGCGCTAAGTAACCACTAAGCATCCCAGGGGGGAAACAACGGGGGAATCTATAAGTGGATGAAGATAATAAGGCGGCCAGCATAGCGGCCGTTATCATCTAGTGCAAAATGCCCTAAGGCGGCCGGCGAAGCGGGCCGTGATGTGTAATGCATAAGCACATAGGGGAACACAACTCCCGATAGTGCGACTTTCTATAGGAGAGCTGTAAGTACTAGACCGCCAGAATTTTAGCCTGTAAGGCTGGAACTTCCAAGTTATAAAATCTGACAAAGGTGGAGGGGGAGGCCCATCCCGCAGCCACGCAAATGTCGTGAATGGAAATTCCGCAGGACCATGCCCACGATGAGGCCATGCCTCTGGTGGAATGAGCCCTGATGCCCAGAGGGCAAGGCAGGTCTTTAGCGGCATAAGCAGAGGCAATCGCGTCTACTATCCACCTGGATAGAGTCTGTTTCGAGGCGGCTAATCCCTTGGTGCGGCCACCGAACGACACAAACAGCTGCTCTGAGCGTCTGAACGCGGCAACGCGTGTAGTATACACTCTGAGAGCCCGAACCGGGCAGAGGCGGTCAGCGTCACGTTCGCTATCGGATGCAGGCAGCGCCGATAGAGAGATCACTTGCGCCCTGAAAGGGGTACCAATCGCTTTAGGAACATAACCGTGTCTAGGTTTCAGAATGACTATGGAGTCATTTGGTCCAAACTCCAGGCACGCAGCGCTCGAAGAAAGCGCGTGAATGTCCCCCACTCGTTTTACTGAGGCGAGTGCCGTCAGAAGAACGGTTTTTAGCTAGAGGTAATTTAGCTCCACGGACTCAAGTGGTTCAAACGGTGGGGCTTTCAGAGCTTCTAGAACTATAGAAAGATCCCAGACCGGCACCGTAGGGGGGCGAGGGGGGTTCATCCTTCTGGCTTCCCTGAGGAAGCGGATGATAAGCTCGTCTTTGCCCAGAGACTGGGCGCGCCGGGGTTCAACGAACGCCGCGACGGCTGCCACGTAAACCTTAAGAGTGGATGGGGACCTGCCCTTATCCAGCATCTCCTGAAGGAACATGAGCAAAGACGAAACCTCGCACGTCCGTGGGTCCAAATTTTTGTCGGTGCACCATTTGGAGAACACAGACCATTTTGCAGCATAGAGCTTTCTGGTAGAATCCGCTCTGGCGTGTTTGATCGTGTTCAGAACCCCTTCTGGCAATTCGACGCGTAGTCGTTGGTCACCCATGCATGAAGCGCCCAGCGCTGTGGATGGGGATGCCAGATCGAGCCGCGGGCTTGAGTGAGGAGATCTGCTCTGATTGGAATGGGCCACGGGGCTGTCTGTGACAGCCGCGTAAGCTCCGGGAACCAAATCTGATTCTCCCAGCGCGGGGCTATGAGGAGCACCGAGTGGCGTGAGTCCCTGATTCTCTGAATGACCTGCGGTAGCAGAGAAATCGGGGGAAAAGCATAGAGCAGGCGGCGGGGCCAATCCTGGGCTAGCGCGTCCTCGCTCTTTGAGAAGAATATTGGGCAGTGAGCGTTCTCTTCTGACGCGAAAAGATCTATCTCCGCTCTGCCGAATAGGCGCCACAGCGTTTGGACTGTTTGAGTGTGCAGGGACCATTCTCCGGGGGAGACCAGATTCCTGGACAGCATGTCTGGACCGTCGTTCAGATGGCCCGGTACGTGCGTCGCTCTGAGCGAGAGCAGGTGACTCTGGGACCACAATAGGATGCGGCGTGTCAGATGAAAGAGATTCTTGGATCTGACGCCGCCCTGACGGTTGATGTATGATACCACGGCCATATTGTCGGAGCGAATCTTGACGTGGTGACCGTGTATGCGCGGGAGGAAAAACAGCAGCGCGTTCTCGACCGCGATCATTTCCAGACAGTTTATGTGTAGGGAACTCTCGTGGCTCGACCACTGGCCGGCGGCTGGTGAGCCCTCGCAAACCGCACCCCAACCCGAGTTGGATGCGTCTGTCGAGATGACTTTCCGGCGAGAAAAAGTCCCCATGGTAACGCCCCTCTGAAACCACTCGATTACTGACCATGGCTGCAGTGCAGTGATACATGTCTGAGTAATCTTGATCATCTGGCGGCCTGTCGTCCACTCGCGGTGGGATACGCGGCTCTTTAACCAGAGTTGAAGGGGGCGCATGTGCAGAAGACCCAGCTGTAGCACAGCGGAGGCTGAAGCCATATAACCCAGCATCCTCTGAAACGATTTCAGGGATGTATGGGTACCCATCTGAAAAGAGGCGGCTAGGCGCTGAACACGGCGCGCGCGCTGTGTGGATAAGCGAGCCGTCATAGTGACAGAGTTCAAAACTATTCCAAGGAACGAAATAGTTTGACTGGGCTGGAGAGAGCTCTTTGTCCAGTTGACAGAGAGTCCCAGCGCTTCCAGATGGTTGAGGAGAACTGTGCGGTGCGACAGAAGCTCCGTCTGGGAATCTGCTAGAGTCAGCCAATCGTCCAGATAATTCAGTATGCGCAGCCCCTGACTTCGCAGGGGGGCGAGCGCTGTATCCATGCACTTCGTGAATGTACGGGGTGCTAAGGATAGGCAGAACGGGAGAACGGCATACTGGTAAACTTGACCCTCGAAGGCGAAACGTAGGAATGGCCTGTGATGAGGGTTTATCTGGATCTGAAAATAGGCGTCTTTCAGGTCTAGAGAGATGAACCAGTCCCCCTGGCGGACGTGCGCGAGGAGTTTCTTGACTGTGAGCATTTTGAACGGTCTCTTCATGAGCGCTTTGTTCAAAGCCCTGAGATCTAAGATCGGCCTGAGGCCGCCGTCTTTCTTGGGAACCAGAAAATAACGGCCGTAAAACCCCGACTCGGTCATAGATGGTGGGACTCTCTCTATAGCGCCCTTCTGCAGTAGCTTGGCTATTTCTAAGCGAAGCGTGTTCATAGCAGCCGGGCTGACAGTGGATTCGAGCCGCGAGCGTGGCGGGCGGCGACGAAACTGTAATCG